AATAATTTTTTACTTGTCAGGAGTACGTCGAAAATGAAGAAAACATGTGATACTAAAAAAATTTGCCGATCAATGGTCATTCTCTTGTTTAGTTTAGAAAGTCAATTTTTTAAATAATTATTCAGATTTTCAAACACTTACACAATTATTTGAAATTTATCATTCATTTTTGTTAATCTATTATAGAAAAGATATATTAATAGTTTGAGAGATATAACAAAAATTCTTCTGAAAATTTTATTTATCACTTTTGTTAAGAGTATGGCAAAAAGTCATTGCAATATTTACGAATTAAAACAAATACGGGCTTTGTAGTATATACAGAAATATAAGACAATTTTACAAAAATTTAATCGAAAGTTAAATTTATTAAATTTAAACAAGAAAAACTGTAAAAAAAGGTTACCTGTTAAAAGCTTAAGAGTTTAAACTGAATCTTAGACAATTATGTTTAATGTAAAATCGTTTGAAAATAAACACTATTTTCTGTGACAACAATATCTTAAATTGAAATCACGCTTCTGAAATTGAAAACTTTCGATTTAGTTATATCAACTTTTTACTATAAACATTCTAATACAAGATTATCTTTGAAATTACTAAGAATCATTAAATTATCATGCCATATATATTTCTAATTCATTTTTATCTATTTAAATATTTTAGTCGGCAAGTCGTTTGATCATACATCACCAATATCTAATCATCTGATTGTTTGGCTCGATGCATATATCAGTCATCCACAAAGTAATCGACTACTTAAACGCTATTTTAATACAATTATTAAAATTGACATGCCATCATTGTTTTCTAAAGTGGAAATGGATATTGACAATTTAATAAGAGTTCCTTATTTTTACTCAATCGATAATATTCGATATGAAAATCTGCAAAAAATGCTCTGGATGTTTTCAAATGTTGATGATTGTATAGAATTTATTGATGCACTGTCAAATTTTGATACAACTCTTTTCGTTATTAGTTCTGGTTCTCTCGGTCGCAAACTTGTACCTAAAATTATAAAAAATAACAAGATTTACTCGATCTATATATTTACATGCAATATATTGGCACAAATGGATTGGGCAATCAATTATGTTGATAAAGTTCTCATGTTTAATCACGAGTTCGATTTACTTACTCGATTAGCAAATGATATTGCCGACTATTATGTACAAAAAGCATTGAAGAACATCGAAAACTTACAACTGAGTTTACAATATTTAAATTGGGCTAAGAAGTTACATAGCAAAGCAACTATTGTCAATGGACTAAATAATATATCTGTAAAACTTAAATATCTTGAATCATTTATTGAACAAGTAGAAGCATACTCAGACGATTGGAAAAAATCGCACGATGATGACACAAAGCTTAGTGTTGAATGCGATGGATAATGAAAAAGAAGTTCTTATTTAAGTCGTAGGGTAAAACTGATACTTCTGTAACATGAAACACCAATGTGGAATTGGCAAAGAAATGAATGATTGTTAAATTACAATTATTTAGAAGATTATCCTGCTTGATAATATAGTAGAAGAATCATCAATACTATTTTTACTTCTGTTTATATGAAAAATGTTCAAATGTGTTGCAGTGAAAACCAAACCTACGTTTAAAATAATATACATGAAATTCGACATCAATGAATAATACTCGACTTACTTTAAGTCGAACGAAATCATATTATATTGTGTCAAAAATAAATAAAATCATCTCTTATTCTTTTCGATCTTAGATTTGTATTGTCAAAAATATAAATAGTAAAATCCTTAAAAGACTTTGCCAGTTAATTGAACATGTTTCAATGAAGTCGTTTCATGAAAAAAATTTGATATCTGCATTTCTTTTTTTCGTCAATTGATTCATGATAGAAAAGTAGGATTACAAAAAAATTTTTTGACTAATGTCCAAGGATTCGAACATGAAGGAAGTTTGAAAAGAATAATTATTTTCCTTGTTATATCTTGCATGATCATAATCTCAGTCATTTATTGTCTGTTCGAAGCGAAATACATCTCATTTGAAAGAGAATCAGTGTGAGTTCATAGAAAATTAGATTTTCGACCACAACTAGTCACACTACCTTGAGGATGTGGGTGTGACTATTCTATTGAAGGGTGTGGATGGGTGAGTGGGTGTAGATGTAGGCTTGTGCTTTTCTTTTCATTCTACACCCACATCCGATATCAAGTGTAGTGATCGTCTGTTAAATATGAAATAGGTGAGAGAATGAAAGAAGAAAGAGAAGAATGTTACTTTGTTGTGTTTAAGAGTATTAACAAGATGCATTGCTCCTTGTAGACCTATTTTATTTTTTCACAGTTGAAGTGTGGTTAGTGTCTGTGTAAAAAATGTTAAAAAGATCAGACAGATTAAAGGCTTACTAATAAATCTCATGGTTGAACGTTTTTTTAAATGTCGAATATAGAAAAAAGTTAATAGAAACTTATGCTGTATATAATTTTCAGGAGAACAGTACGCACTGATATTGCCTAGTATATAGATCATTACGATGAATGCAAAATATTTATAATAAACCTCCTAAATCTCACAAGAAGTTCTGGCTTAGAAAACGAGTCTGTACGTACGCTGAAGACTGAATAAGTTTTTGAGCAGTCAATAAAAGTTTAAACTAGTTATTACTTAAGAAAAACGACAGTTTCCGGTTATTAGAGATTATGATTCCTTCTCCATTTGCTCATGACAATACCACATTGATCAGTATATTTTTCTGTAGGGTGGTATAGTTGTGTGAATCTGTCACATTGTTCGAAATGTGTAATAGACAAGCATTAAACTAAGATCAATAACTTGTTCTATTGACTTGAGAGAAATAGAAACAAAACAACAATATAGAGATGAAAAGAAATGTACAAGAATAGTAACAACTTGAGTATATGTATGCGTGATGACTCATCAGAAGGAGGTGAAAGAAAAGAAAAACAACATAATACAATAATATATGTCATTATATGATACAATTTTTTTAATTACCATATATAGTATTAAAATACTCTTCATATATTGTGCTTTTAGACATTGGAGTAATGTTTTCAAAATATATGGTTTATCACAAATATTCAGATTGAACAGTTTTTACATTAGCTTTTTTATTTTATCTGATACTCATTCTCAGAGGCAATTTTTTTTTCAGTATGGTTCTATCTAGAACATTTTGAGATTAACAATAGAAATCATAAACAGAGTTGGAATATCTTGTCAAAATGAATAATATTTTGAATATAACAAAAATAAGACGTTGAGATACAGAAAAAGTTTACCTTGTATCAATGATAGTTGTTCATGATCGTATTAATACGTTTACAGATGTTTCGCATTGTACAAAATATACTGAAATCGTCAAGATAGTCAAGAATTCGGTAGATAAGTTCTTTTGGTAAGGTATAAAAGGGATGGTTCAATTTTGTCAATTATTGTAGAACTGTTGCAATGTTTGTTCTTTGTATAGTGCGTGTGTTTGAATGTTTTCTTTCATTTTAAATATTTATATTTGTTCTAATTCATAAAGTTTTTCATGCTCGTGCAATTACTTGTTGACACGTCACATTGCACATGACTGAGTAACGACAATGATCAAATGTAAGGTGTGTCAGAAAATGTAGACCAACGTCATGAGCCTCTCGATCACTAAGCTTCACACTATTGAACTAACTATGTAGAAATCGATATAATAAAAATAAAATACTCCATGGTTTTTTTCTTAATTGTAAAATATGTAAAAATTTTTGTATTGAAGTCAAATGTATTATACTTTTGAAGAATATTCATGAAAAATAGCTTACTGCTCTTCTTTTTCAAACAAAAAAAAAATTAATAGGTTAAGTTTGATCAATAAGGAATTACTGTTGTTTAAATACAACATTTTGTTTAATGTAATATACAAGAATAGGATCGAAGTGAAAAATTTGTAGCAAACAAGTGTTATTTTCTAAGGATAATGAATTGCCAGAGATACGATCTGTCTTATTTATTTGTTCATTTCAAATAGAATTTTTTTACTGATACTCTTTAGAAACATTAATATTAATTATTGCTTAATGTTATAATTATATTAGTTCACACTTTTTATATTGATCAAATGATGCTTGTAGCAAATCATAGCACTATTAATCATCATCCTTGATATCCTGAATATAAATTTCTATTTGTACAATAATCAAAACTTGTACTATTTAGAACGCTCACAAACATATTCCAGTCATTCAATTATTGAGAAAGGCTGTGAAATACTATAGAATAATCTTTGTCTTTTCGTCAATGCCTTTTTTCTGTTACTAAGGAGGGAGAGTCGCAAAACCTTGACTTAATAGCCATAATGTGAGTTCCACAAAAAGTTAGTTTACTATATAAAAAGAAGAAAAAATGCTAAGTAAATCAAGCATAAATAAATATTGACTGTTCAATGAATTTTATGTAATCGATGAAAATAAATCGAATAAAGAAAGTAGAAAATCAAAAATTGTTCACAAATATGCGTTATTGAAAGGTAAATCTATCCTGCAACATGTGTCGTTAAGTTAGTCATAAGTTCGTCAAATAGAGTAGTGTTTTGGATTAGATACAGATCTTGTTCCAAGTAAATGCAAAAGTTCTTTAACCTATAAATAAAACAAAAGAATAATAACAAATAATAAACAAACAGTTTGATATTCATATCGATCTTGATCAGCTATTTTTTGTTTTCCTTCTGAATCAAGTTATTGCGAGAATTATACAATAAACAATATAAAATATTCTTTGTTCGTTTTTGTCCATGTGAAAATAGAAAAGATTATTAAGTACGACTGAAAGTTTTCTGCAAAAATTATCCAATTTACAAGTGAAACAAAGAAATCGTCAATTTTCAGTAATAGTTGATATTAGTAAAATAGAATAAGCTCGCTAGATTTATATTTTATACATTAATTGTAAACATGAAAAAAAAAATACAAATAATATTAAACACAAATACAAATGAAGAATCCATTGAAGATCATTCATTGAAAGAATTGTGCAACAAATAATAGGCTAGTTATTGCTGCCAAAAATTTGATAGTTACTGTAATTGTTGTTGCTCCATTACATAAACCGTCTTTACAATAATATTTCATTTTATCAGTAAGTGTACAATCAAGACCACCACTGCTTCGACTTTCAATACCCAACGCACTCGTTTTCTACAAAGAATAGTACCAAATCTAAATCTTCAATAAAGAAAAATTTTTTAAATTTATATATGTATATACTTGACAGTAATCATTGTCCCCAAAGGTAACTTTGCTAACACCTTCTTCATTTCTCTGGTATGGTTTAGAACATGCAGTACATTCATAGCATTGTCTAGCAATACTTCCAATAATAACTACGTTAAGAAAAAAAAGATTTTAATCATATTCAAAATGCACGATTTAATAAAGAATATGAACCCGATAGTTACAAGAAAGTAATGAGAAGTTTGCTGTTCATATTGAGTATCAATATATATAAATACTTATATAAGAGTACATGCTGGAAAAGGAATGAAATACCACCTTATATATGATTGATGTTATCTATTCCCTTATAAAGACAGAGATAGAGAAAGAAAAAGTCATTATTATATGTATATAAGCGATTGGTGAGTTGTTCTTACTCTACGAACTTAAAGGTCATATGTGATATAGTCAACTAATACGATGATACTTGAAGATGAGTTACTTTTTTTTCGATATATAGTGATAGGAATTCGCGAAATAAGATGAGCACAAAAGAAAGTTATTTGGTAGATTACATAAAACAAAAGTGAAAAGACATACGTAATTCTATGTAAACAATTTTTTACGATTACTGAAAATTTCTTTTCCTCAAAAATTTCTACTTTATTATCGATTATAAACATACATTCTTTTTTTTTTCATTCAAGACGTAACATGATAGTTTTTTGACATCTCCGAAATCTCAAAATATTGTGTTGCAATAAACGTTTTAGACTTTTTTAAAATTATTTTATTATTGAAAATAAACTGTAAAAGAAATCGATAGTTAACCAATATGTAGTTACTCGAAAGATAATACATGGATACACAATAAGATTTCCATAATGAAACACAAAAAGAGAAGAAAACAAACAATGAAAAAGACGATTGAGGGTAACCAAAGACTAGTAAAACAAAAACACGTGTCAAAGACAAGGATATGGAGAGATATTTAGTATGATTATGAATAGGACTCATATTAAGAGGGTGGAAATTTTTTATTCTGTGTACTCCTAACAGGGTGTGCCGGTGGGTGTGGGGGTGGGGGTGGGTCGGTGTGGGTGTGGGTGTGGGTGTGGGTTTGGGTGTTGTTCTTTTCTCCATTCCTGCACCTACACCCACACCCACAGCCACACCTCACACCTCCACACCCACCCACATCCACCCACACACCCACCCACATTCACACCCACACCCCACGCCCACACCTTTAAGGAAATTTTTTATTTATTATCCGAACTTGATTCATTACAAAGCTTTTCTTTATCATTTTTACAAGAAAGATATTTTGTTCTTATCAATTAATAATCGAATTAGAAAACTTTGTCTCGAGATTATAGCTCTGATAGGAGAAGTTTATCTTCTGATTGCAATCTTTTCTCATATCGATCATCTTCAAGTCAATTGGATATTCAGTTATTTGTGCGACTTACCTTGATGCAAAGTATAAGCAAATCTAATCATCTACTTCGATCATTATGTTCTTGTGTGGTAGCAACAGATGATAGAATCCTTCAAAAAAGAAAAGAAAAAATGATCAATATCGAGGATCTACTTTTCGATTTTATGGTGTAACGTGTTATGGATAAGATCTATTTACAATGGAAGTAATTCTATTATTTTTTGTATTTTTTTTGTGTGATATCGTTTAATAAAAAGCCTCATTGTTTCAGGAAGAAACTATCTGTGGTAGAAAATCTTATTCTGAAAATATATATGTTGGAATATCGTATGTCAAAGTGATTGTGAACATAAACAAGAACAGTCAATGATTCATTGGGGATAGCCTTGTCAGAGAAAAGAACGTTGTCATTTCAAACAGAACATACTAAGTAAACTGTGTATATTTTTACTCACAAAATATCTCCAACATTTCTCTGAATTATCCACTGGTGTCATTTGTTTTGTTGAAAGAATATCGTCACAATCATTTGTCTCATTCTCATTCATTGCATATTTCTTTTATTTAGATTCAGATAAATAATAGATGGCAAGCTTTCAACTGGAAAATGATTTCTCTCTCTCAAATCTTTTCTCATCTTAGTTTATTCTTCTTTGTTAATGATAAATGTGAAATAATATCTAAATTTGATTTTGGTTCAGAAAGAGATGAATTTCGTCTTGTCAAAGTTGATGAAAACAAATTGGGAGAAAATAACTTATTGTTGGGATATTGCATTTCATCGAAATAAATTTTTGAGTAAATGAAAATAAGTTTGTGCAAAAGATATAGGTAATCATTCTTGAATTTCTTTTTTGTTGTAACCTAAGATGAGTTTTGTATTGAAACAAGTTCCACAAAATAATCGAAAGAAGCTTCCCGTGAAAATCAAAAACAGATAAATGAATTGTGATGATTAAATCTTTACTTAACTACTGAAGAAAAACTAATTCTCCAATATCCAAACAAATAAACATTTTATTTCCATATTTTCTCGAAGAGCTTCAATGTTCAACAATTCTTCTTCTTTTATCAATAATTAAAAATTAAATTGAAGACTTTCATGTTGAAGTAAATCGTTTTTATTTGGTGCCATTGACATTCCATCAAAAAATGGATAAAGAAATATTCTTCTGATTACATTAAATCAATTTGATTGTTTATCACTTCTCCGAATCTTGTTTTTTTTCTGTAAATTTCTGAAGTAATAAAATTTATGTCACTAGATTTGAAAAGTTGTTAGCAACAGGTTTTTACTGAGAATAATTTTGTATACTTAATTCAAAGAATACTCTGTAAGCATAAGCTTTTCTATCAGTTAAAAGTGATATTTTTCTTTTTTGTCGCTTGTTTTTGATTCGCAGTTAAACGAACAAAAACCAGACATTCTTTGCAGTATACTATCAGTGAAAAACTGTAAGTTTCATCATTTGAAACAGTAAATGTGTGTGTGTGTACCGATATCTTTCCGACGGATATTTGGTCAATGAAAATTTTGAGAGCATTTTTCCATTTGAATGGTGATGAATTTCATATCGGTTCTGTTAAAAGAACTGTTAGATCGATTCTCTACCACAGATTGTGAGCTTGAGTTCTAAAATGAGAACTATACGAAATTATTGGTCATCAATATACAACTTGAAAATGAATGTACCATTAAATTAGTCGTATCTTTCTTTGAAAACAATAATTATATAGAGTTCATTTATTACTAATGTTCACTAGATATTGGTTAAAATAAAGCATGAAAATAAGATTTGTAATTATCAGAATCAAATTACAATAACTTAGTATATAATCAAAATATTTGTATTCTTTATTTAATTATTATCTATAATTTTGTGACGACGTGGATTAACTTTAGCACTATTCAATTTAGTCAATTGTTGTTCATTCATATCGAAATTCTCTGGTTTTAACCATCGTTCAAATTCTTGCTTCACATGTGGCCATTCATCATCAACTATACTGAACCATGAAGTGTCTCTTGATCGTCCTTTACAAACTTCTGCTTTCAACCATGTACCTTCATATTGAAAACCAAATCTAAGTGCTGCAAGTCGTGACTTCATATTTAAAGCATTACATGACCATTGTACTCGTCGGTAGCCAAGCGTATCAAATGCAAACTGTAACAACAAAAAAACTGCTTCAGTTGCTTGTCGAGTTCGTACTAATTGCTGACTGAAATTCACGTGTCCAATTTCAATTGTGCCATGTTCTTGATTAATTCTTGCATAAGTAATAAATCCTACTGGTATATCATTAACAAAGATAGTATATAAGACAATGTTACTACTAGGTTGTTCATTAATATAGACAAATTGTTTAAGTTCATCCAATTCTTTAAATGGACCATATCCTAAGTATTTAAAATGAGTCTCTTCAGTAGGTTTAAATACATCAAAAAGGCGTTGAATGACGATATCATTTGTTGAATTGAGTAACTCAAGTCGACAATATTGACCTTGGAGTATGTGATATTGTGGATTAGAAAGAGGATGAGGACGTGGTGTCCAATTTTCAACAATATCACCAATTGACTGATCGAGCTGAAATGTTGCAATTGGAACTGGTGTTACTGGTAGTGTCATTTTGATTTTCTCAAAAGAATAGAATGAATGAGAATCAGTTCTTAGTGAGTGTTATGTATCAACACTGGTATTTGATAACAGTTTCAACCAATCAAAAATCATTTTTTTTATGCATGTTTCTGGTGTGCTCAATTTATAGATGTCATACAACTACGATGTGTAGAAAACAATGGGCGACAAACCTACGTCAAATAGATCACATGGGATGTAAGGGTGTGGGTGGGTGTGGGTGTGGTAATGTGGGTGTGAGTGTGGGTGGGGTGAGGTGTGGAGTATATTCATAAGCACATCCACCTACACCCCACACCCACACCCACACCCTAATACATCGGATGCTGCTATCGGCTGTACTTTTGAATCAAAGTTATATAAAGGAACAAGAGACGGATATTCATTCAATATTTATGATACAGCTAGTTTAAAATGAATCTGATAAAGGACGCTTTAAACCAGACCAAGCAGTTGGAAATTTAATGAAATTAGTTGGCCATTTAGAAGAAGGTATCCATCTGTTGATTATCTGCATGAGAAAGGGAAGAATAAATAGTGCTATTGCAAATAATTATCAACTATTTTATGATGGCATATTTGGTAAAAATGTTCCAATTATACTGGTTGTAACGCATTGTGAACTGGACGATCCTATTGATTCATGGAAAATAAACAATCAATCGTTATTGAAATCAAAATTTAAAATGGACTTTAATTGTAAGTTTTGTATTTTTGTTGAACGTGAGTTCAATTTTATTTCAATAATGAAGAAGAAAGTACAAAAGAAGAAGAGAATGAAAGCATGAAAGAATCAAGAAGAAGAGAATGCCAGCAATAACCATTCTGCATACAATGAAAGAAGTGCATATGTATATATATGATGATAACACTATCACGTATTATAAGCTATGCGATAGAAAGATTAATGAGCAAAAGAATAAAAAGACAAGGTCAATATCGATGTTTATTGACCGTGAGAAAATGGATACGAACGAACAATTTCCATTGAGCAAGAAGAAACATATATAGTTTATGAGGAAGAATATTTCCTTAACATTAATGATATAATTTGTGTCACAACACTAAATAAAGGGAAACATGCCGTTAAGTTTCAAGAAGAGTACAATTCGTCTCGAGAAGCATTAGGTCGTTCAATAGTTCAAAATGCGTTGAAGAAAGCATGGGTTATTGAGAATTTCGCTGACTTTATCATGGTTATGATGAAACGAATTTGGAATATAATTGCGAATTATTTCAATTTTCCTAAATTGCCTTTAAGTAATATCATATATTCTATATTTCAAAAATTACGCTTCGGCGACAAGGAGGCAACCGATAAAACGAACAAACTAGTCGATGAATTTAAACAAAATAATATGGCCATAGAAGTTATTCATGTTAGTGATGATAACAATTAAGTACAGAACAATTAAATCAGAGATAAACGAAATACAATAAAATGACTTGCGAACATTTTTAGAGCACGAGTTTTTATGATTAAACCTAGAAATAAACACAAAACGATCACAGTTTCCGGTGTGGATTTGGATGGGATGGGTGTGGGTATGGGTGGTGTGGGTGGGTTTGGGTGGGATGGGTGTGGATGTGTGTGGGTATGGGTGGTGTGGGTGGGTTTGGGTGGGATGGGTGTGGATGTGTGTATGGGCCTAGGTGGGTGTGGGTGTGAGTGTGAGTGAGAATATTCACCTCCTCTACACCAACACCAGCACCAACACCCACACCCTCATATTTTTACGCTATGACTTGTTTACTGATAGCCAACAGGGCACGATAATTTTCAAATAGGCTTTTCATTGTATTTCACGCCAAAGGAGGTATAGGCTATTTTAAATTCTGAGAAATACATGCGATCTTATTAAGTCCGTTCTGTCGACTGCGGAAGAATCAGAAAGTTTTATGACACAGGTGATAATAGAGAAATAGCTTGAAGTTTTTTTTTAATAATTTCTGATAATCAAAAGCCACTGTTACATATTTCTATAATTTTCTTGCAATTATTACGGAAAACTGTCGAAGTTTGCTTCTGAGATCGTGGTGATTTTGAGAAATTTCTTGTGAGTTTCGGTAATACATCTTGAGTTCATTGTGTATACTCTGTAATAATTTATAGTAATTTCGAAGATTTTCTTTTCCGGAACTGGAAACATACGTTACTGAAACACATAAGGATGTGAGTTTCATTTTAGCATGAAGAAAATTTGTCTCAACGATGTTCCAAAATCAATGTAAATTTTTGTAGAAAGTTTTGCTTATGGTCAGGTTTGCCAAATAACAACTATTTCAAAAAAACTCTACTTTTGTCGATAGTTGACGATTAGGTAATATATATAATGGTTTTTTTGACATAAGAAAAAAAAATCTCGCTATCTAGAACTTTTGTTCTTATTAGGTTATTTACTATAGAAGAGATCGATATTTCTGAGTAATAAAAGCATAAATAATATCGCAGAGTAAAATATCAGTTCGAAGCATGTACCATGTAATCTAGAAGAGATCGAGAGTGAATCGAGAATCGACTGCTTGAAACTATATATTGTCTCAATGATGAACGTCTTTCGTGGCAATTGATGCTAATTAATATAAAATCGCAAAAATACCGATAAAATCATTCGAAAATACAATGATAATCGATTTAATCATACCCAATATTAACATAGATCATTAGTTTAATACGACAAGGATTTCTTATTCTGTTGAAAAATCATCGAACTTCAATAAAACAAAATTTATTCTTGTTGATGAAAAATAAAAGTGGTTTTGTGCCGGCTGAGAAATCGAACGAAAGTACCAAAAAGGAATCAATCAACGAATTCACGATTGAGACTGCATTTGCCTATTTTTGTGCATAAAAT